TGTATTCTCACTGCCACGTTACGGAGAGGGCCGTTAAGCATATGGTTAGGTTTGCGTTGTTTTGTCCCCCAAGTGGAACGGACTATATCAAGTAATGCAAGTTTGAAAGCGTTTCATCAAGGCGGTTTTTGAAAAGCGTTACTGTAGGACAAGGATAACTTGAGTCAGAAGCGCATTCCCGGCACGGGACACACTCAGGGAGAAAACGTTGCGTCGACAATCTAGTCGACTGTAGTGCGTAGCCAGTTTGAACTGATGACCATTCAGGTTGGTATTTCGGCTCAGCTGCAACAGATTGCGACATATGTGAGTTGGGTTCGTCAATATTAAATAAACCAGGATTAGGTCTCCTCGCTGACGCCAATATTCACCACTGTACAATCTCAGGGACTGCAATCTGTTGGTAGCAGAGATGAAACAATCCTCCAACGAGTTTAGTCGCTCTACGTTGTGGAGCTTCAAGTGCATCGACGTCGACCTTGCGCCAGGGACGCAAGGCCTGGACGGCATATTCCACGTGAGGCCTCAAGTAGACGTTCAGCATTTGCGGAAAGATTGATGGCTCAAAAAAGCCGAAAGCCCTCCTTAAGAGTCTAAGATGTTGATGCTGTTTTTGATGCCTTTTCAGCCTGTCTTGAGCAACCAGGTCGTATTGCACGATCACCCGCGGTCGCATTTCTGGGAAGCACGTTGTAACTGCTGGTCCCCAAGTCGATATTCATAGATAAGCTGATGGCGTGTGCTTACGACTTTGCACTTGGTCACGTTGAACTGTAGCCGGTTGTCGGATGACCACGCATAAGCCCTGTCGAGATCGCTCTGCAATGTCATGTGATCTTCCGCTGTCCAGATATCATGTCAACTTTTGACATCAGCTGCAAATAGTAAGAAATTCGACTGCAGTATAATGACAGGATTATTAATGAATGTGAGGAATAAACGTGGCCCTAGCACTGAACCTTGGGGCACGCCACAATGGATGTCAATTGGGTCGTAAACGGAGCTGCGGAGTCTCACATTCAGATGACGTTTAGCGAGGAAGTTGCCTATCTAACCGAGTATGGAGTCATTGATTCCATAGCCTCGAAGATTGTGCAGGAGAATGCGGTGATCCAAACGATCGAATGCTTTCGAGAAGTCCAGGTAGACAACATCGACTCCCAATCTGGCATCAGCTGACTCTGTCCACCTTGCTCGGGCTAGCAGCAAGCTTGTAGTGCAAGAACAATTTCGTCAGAATCCGTGCTGTTGGGACACTAGGATGTCTTTGCTCGCAAAGTATCCTATATGCATCTCTGCGATTATGCCTTCCATTAGTTGGATAAAACTGGGAGCAGAATGAGTGGACGGTAGTTTGAGGGTTCCACACGATTACCACTTTTGTAAATAGGAATGACTAGTCCATGTTTCCACATTGTAAGAACCTAAATTTCGTTGAGACAACCTTGAAAGAACCGAGCTAATGGTTCGGCAAGGTTTATGGTCGCTGTCTTCAAGACCTTCGGTTTGATATCGGCCACACCAGGTCAGCCTTGCAGGCGCAATAACATTAACGTTTTCATCAAGTTGGCTGCAGTGAACGATACGTGGTTTAACCCTGGTGTCGATGGAACCTGTGTCAAAAGCGGATGAAATGATGATTAACTCTGGAAAGTGTGGATGAAATGTTGGTGAAGCACTTTGGCTGCATCTTGTGCGGTTTGCGCAAGACCATCTGTTTCACGTAAAACTGGGATCTAGCGCTGCGCTCTGCGGAGCTTGTTGATGTGTCTATACAGCAACATGCGATTTGTACTGAATTTCGACGATAAGTTCTGTTGGTGCTGGAGTTTGTCTTCGCAGAGCAACTTTGCGCAGTGGTTTCGTTGAGTTGTGTAAGCATCCTAGGTCTGGTTACTTGGATAGTGCGCGCCAAGATGAATCTCTTAAGGCCGTGCATTTTCTAGTACGGCTCCTCAGGAACCAATTCACTTGCTTCGGGCGAAGAACTGTGCTTTCTGACGCATTTGCCACTAGCTAAGTGAATTGGGTGACGAACAACATCCAAGCGACATTGGGTGGCTTATCGGCCAGGAAGGAGCAGTCGGTTTCTTGAAAGAGGATGGACAGTTTATCGTAATGTGGAACGACATAGGTTTTCACGTTGTTCTTACTGATGTACTCCGAGTGCCAGATGTAACGAAAGAGCAACATCGTGTGATCGCTACGACCAAGTGGTGCATCTATGGTCACGGTGTCGACCATTAGTTCCTCGTTGGAGAACACAAGGTCCAAAACAGAGGGTGTGTCACCCGTTCGGAATCGCGTGGGAGAGGTGACATGGTTGTACAGAGGTACATCGGCAAGCACTTCTTGCAAATTAGTTTTGTATTGTTCGCTATGCGATGCTGGAACTGATTGTGTGCAGGTTGAAGTTCCCCAACATAGGATGTGACTGTATGGTCGTGCCAGGACTCGCTTCATCGCAGAAAATAGGCACTTATCCATTTCCAAGGTGGACATTGGAGGGCGTTAAACTATTGCTAGTAAACATACATCACCACGTCTTAGGTGCATACGACACCAAAGAGTACCGACGACTTGTGTTTCTGAGTCCCCAATGATATCAACATGGCAGTCGGATCAATAATACAAAAGCACTCCACCTCCTCTGCTAGGTCGATCGTTTCGTATGGAAGTCATGCCGGATAGTGCAATCTCAGCATCCGTGATCTCCGTGTTCAGCCATGTTTCGGTAACCAAAACTGGATCCCAGGGCGTGGAGACCTGACGAATGCAAAGTTCGGTTAGCTTGCTGAGAAGGTCTGACGCATTGGTATACAAGCAGGTGAGGGCATCGGTGGTCAGAAGTGTGGCTGTGAATGCTGATTTCCGGTGACGGTCTATGCCGACTCTTGAGGGGTCGGTTGTTGGTCGTATTTTTGTAGGCCCTTGGGCCAGTTCTGATTGTTGTAGAGAGCTCTCAGCGCCAACAAGTGGGTGACCATCCTGTCCTCCTTCAACTGCGAGTGTGTTTTGGCATTGTTTCCATTCTGGGCTATACGGTGACAGAATTGTATTGGTAAGTTGCTCGCTATGTGTTACATTGTCTATCTGTGGTCTGGTGCCTATCGTCCTTATACATATTTCGGATGGCAGCAGTTTACACTTTTTGCGCCACATTTTGATCACGTTCTGGCATCAGTTCGGAGTGAAAGGACACTTTCATCACTCGGGGGCCACACCCTTTGTAGTTAGATGATAGCGGTAACCTTGATGTCGAATTAGCTATAACATTTTCGAGTGAGAGTACTCCACGAATAAAACTCCATTCATCCCAGTCATGCGCTTTGACCTCTAGCTCGCTTAGTGACTGGAGCTGGATAGATTTTGCATCTTGTTGTTTACGGAAGTCATCCGGCGTTTGTTTGCGTTTCTGTCGTTCGCTCCAAGGAACATCTAGGAATACTCGTACAGTGCATGTGGTGGTACGGAGGAGAGTGGCTTACAAGAGAACTGCCTCTGCATCATTACCTGACTAAAGTGTTACCTGGACTAACCACGGTTCACCGTAGTGTACGGAGTTTGAGTGACGGACTAGACGCACCATGCTGACTGTGTTAGTTTGAACCCCTATTAGTTGACACAGGCAGTCCCACTGTCTTTTGTCGTCTAGTATCGTCTAGTATCGCCTCGGATTCAGTCACATTAGAGCGTATAACAGTTAGAGAATTATGGTAGTGTTTCATGTTCTCCTTTTTGGAGGGACCAGTGGCTGTTTTCTTCGGTTGGACATGTGATGGCGCCTTGAGTCCCATGGTGGTATTGACAGTAGTAACTGGTTTGGCAGCGGGAGGAGTTGTAATGGGAGGTACCTCCGTCGTATGGGTAGCAACAACGGACGCGTAGGTTGTCGGCCCTCTAACAATGGTTAGTGTGTCGGAGGATTCTGTTGAGGAATATGTGACGAAGGCAACTTTATGAGGAGACGCTAGTGTAGCAGTGGCTAACATTGGATCGTTACACTTACACTGTGCTGTATTGGAGCTTGGTGTTGAGCATCGAGTTCGAGGCACTGATTTGTCTGGTTCATGTGGGACAGCTTTCACGGCTTCTGCCTGCTCTACAATCCTTATCAGCCTATCGTGCTTCTGTGCCAGCACAGTTATACACCTGACGAGTGGAAGAGACGTACACTCATTGCAGAACCAGAGAGCATCAGTCGTACTATTAAGCGTTTTTATCTGGCTGAGACTAAGGCGAGCACATCGAGAATGGAAGTACTTTTGACAGTTTCTGCATTCTATTCCAAATCGCACAAGTTTTACAAAGCTGCCTACGCCACAACTAACGTTTATTTCGGAAGCTTTGGGCTTAGCTTTCCGTGGGCAACCAGTACGTGCCATTGTGACTGTCAGATCTGCGGAAGACGTTCGTTGGCACCTCTGTACTGTTATGCTGAATCCAAACGCCGTCGGTCAAGCTGGTGGTCTGACAGACACCTGTTCGATTACCGTAGGACAAATCCAAGATGGCGGACACAGACGGCAGCTGGGCCAATCAGTAAGATCTCCGACAGTAGCCGGTGAATATCCACCAAATTCGCACAGATGAACATATACACCAAAAGCAAAGTATTGGTGCAAAATTCACACAGAGCAAACATATAGAACACAGTATTTCCAAAACAAAAGTAGAATGCAGCACGGGAAAGCAAAAATCCGCGGCGACGTAAATTTGAGCTTTTGAAGCATATACATGTCTAACCTAGTTTATATGACGTCGTATTACATGAGCTGGTGTATACAATTTTCAAATTACCATCATGATTTGATCAGATACGAGCAAGCGGGGTGATAATGTTGCTGAATTGTGCATCTCACCCACACATGGCCAGCGGTTGCTGTGCGCCTGATGTTCACGGGACGCTTCTTTTACAAACGTTTCCCCAGTGATGTGTCAAGAAGCTTGATTTGACCTGGTGAATCCTGATACACAGATATGTCATCTTTTTTTAACAGTTCAAAGCTACAAATGATGGAAGAAAGTTACAAACGTCGGGAAAACCGGTAAGTGAGTCTCTGAAAAAAATATAAATATTTCTGTACAGGAGTCGGTATCCGACTGATCAATCAGTAGGGTTCCCTAAGTTTAGTGTTGAATGCTTTCAACTTAGAAGTTCTTCTACGGAGCACTGTTGGTGACCCGAAGCGAAAGCTCCTTGGGCAAGAATCCAACGCCATTCATCATCATGATTTTTTAAAAAAGAAAACTCACTATTCCGCCCCGCATCCTTCAATTCTTCGAACATTCAGACGTGTGTTCTGATTCCAATATTTCGTTTGACAAGTCCTGAGTGCAAAGGACAGACGATCTGTTCGCTAGTTGCGTTCGATTACCCTGTCGTGGGTGGACGACTACAGTCCTGCAAGCCTACTGAATTTCGCTTACCTATCTAACTGCTTGTCCTCACGGACTTATGAGAGTAGTCTGTGCATGCTGTATTAACAGTGTGGTTGTAATCTCTGTGTAAATGGTTAGCTTTGTAGCTGACTATTCGGTTTTGCCCTCGCGAAAACGCCGCACTCCAAGAGTGGTTTCGAATTTATCAGGTTTCATCAGGTAGAGATGCCAACTGCCTCTACAGCTACTGTTCCAGTGATCGAAGTTACCAAGGTCCACATACTTGCAAATCGCCATCCACAGTGAGACTGCGCACCGCAATCCATTCACACAACAAGTGCTTCAAACTGACAGATAAATTAGCCTTGTAGCCTCACACCAAAAGGAGTCTAAGTAGACAGGTTATGGAGAATACTTGACGGATTGAAACACCTTTATCAGAGCGTATAGGGTCAACAACACCCAGTGGTAACAGACAAGACAGAATGAACCTAACTAGCACCCACCGTTGTTCAGGCGCTTTATCTCCTTGATTACAAAACACCGTGTCACTACTCAAGACCCCAACCGGGGAAACAGGAAGCGCATTGGTTAATAATCTTGTAAAAAGGATAAGACTGTGTTTTCCGGATGCTCAAAACCGTCTGGTCAGATCTCCCTTTATACAGTTGTGTTGCTTGTCTATCTAATCTTTCACATACATCGCGTATCCATAACTCTCAGAAGTCACTCCTTTCCCCGGAGTAGGATTCAGTGATGTTGACCTTATTGAAAATAACGACAAGCCGGTGGCTTCGGTGTTTCCCGTCGCGTAACGGTTTCCACAAATTCCAGTCGAGACGTTACGAACAGCTACCGACTAATTATTTGTTGGTTTTTACTTCTCCGTTCGAAGACATAAACTATTATGAGTCGAATACGAAAGACCTTAGAGTTATTATATTATACTTCAACTTTCCATGCATCACACAATCCCGGCCATTATTTGCGTGCATAAATCGTATGCGGTAAGTACAAATGCCCCTATTCGAATGAGTGATTATATGTTTCCGCGCCAAGCATTACTTTCCGTTTGCATTACTCCATTACAAAGCAAGTTGACTGATTTTTTACTATATCTACTGCACTTTATTAACGGTATCGCGTAGAGGTGAACGAAGGTAGCTGGGTCCAATAGATTTGGTGTTCGGATCATAAGTAGCTACTTGTACTATCTGATAAACTGAATCAAATCGGTCACTGGCTCGAAGATGTTGTTTACTGTTGCTGGAAGCAATAAGATTTATGGAAGTGTTGTGATTGAAGTACTGTGTCATGGTGCGGCAGATCACATCCCAGCCACTCTGCTACATGTACTTTACTCACGCTCGCTTAAGATGTGTAAGCGACTGTTTTGTCGAACCCGAATGTTTCAACCCATGACGGCAGCGTGAGCACCAAGAAGAGAATGGACAATTGTCTTTCAATCATTACATGAATCTGTTATGTAACAGGCGAGTAGCGAACACACCGGAGTGAATCAGCCAATGAGGGATCAGTTACACTAAACGCCAATTAGACGCATGTAATAGTTGGGTAGTTGATAGCGTCAATCTCAAGGACGAAACTGGGGTAAGCCAACAAAACCTGTTAACGGCCAACCAGGCTGACAAAATGCTGCGCTAAAACAAACCACGTTAGATTTACGCAAGAAAAGGGAATGCTTACAATTACCGACTACCAAAGGAAATACATGTCAATTTAGTGTTTACCCCAACAACGACAGACGCCAACTCCCCAGAAGTCAGCTGGTTGCGAACTGCGAACTAGGCTCGCGGTGTATGCCACCGCTATGTTTACGTATGGATTTCCCCACAGTGTACCTCAACAGGAACAACTCGCCCCTACCACTTCTTTACTGTCTTTATCGCGAGCGGGTATGTATAACAGTAAATAATCTGCGTGTACTTATTAAAAATTCGCCATAAACTCAATTTTCTACGATAATCTATACAAACTAATCAAGTTTAGTCCGGAAAACCCAAGGACGTCCATAACATTCACATAGTTATCCAAAATAAAGCACAGTTTGCTTTTTTCCTCGATGTGTGCAGAATCTCCTTACTCTCACCTAATGATGTGGCACCAATAAGGAGTTTCATGAACCTATAGATACTGATTGCCTAGAAGTTGCAAAATGATTTTGAGTCAACTTTGGTTCCTGTCCGCACATCTCTCCGTCCAATCTGTTGGGATCTCCATTTGCTACCAAACGCGTTTCCTGAGCTAGTGACGACACAGCTAAAGGCGCTCACAGTCCGTTAGTAGGTACAGAAGTGGGTTTACACTTTAAATACTGCACGCCTACCGTCGTTTCAACAGATTAAAAGAGGAGCTCCAATACTTGGAGGAGCAGAACCGAGAACGTTTGGCCACGTTGGAACAACAGAGAGATCAACTAGTTTCGGAACTCACTGCAAAATTGAACGAAGTTCGCAAACAAAGTGCACAAGAGCTGCTACGCATAGGTGAAGTGCATGAGTAAGTGAAAGTGGGAATTATTTGATCATAGTGTATGTATTTGTACTATTCCGATTGCTCAATAAACACTCCAAGGGGATATCTGCTAATTTTATAACCATAAGGTGGCCTACGATCACACCATTCTGATTCAAACCTATACGCCTTACATGCTGATCTTTTCATCAAGGTCGCTTGTGAAACGTTTTGCTTGCCGATTACAATGTTGACCATGGGATGTCGCTTGCAACAGTAAAGGTACAGCTATCCACTTGATCGTCAAACGATCCCTTATGTGGTCAGTAGGCGCTCTGGAAGACAGCAATAGGATGTTAGTGGTTCACAGTATTGTAAACATGTATGTGGGCTACTTGTAAGGGTTCCTGATTACACCTGTTCTCCAAGCTTCGTAATTGGTTTACAAACATTTCATCACCAACAGAAGTGACTTCCTCAGTGAACTATTGTAGTCCGCTGATATGATCGTCGATTTGTGATCGAGCAGCATGTGAATTTTGGGTTGGCCTCCTCAATCTTTACTTTGTGACCCTTACTCCTTTGGTCATGGTCTCTGATAGATATGGGCGATCCGTGCGATGATTTCTCCCTGGTTGTACACAAGATTTCTTCTTTCCTGGGCTCCAGATTTCGCTTTGGGTTTCGAGAGGATTGTCCTCAGAGCAGCAGTTGGTTTATGGGCCACTGTAAGACCGCGCTGTTTAAATATCCTTGCTGCCATCTCAGAGATGTTCTTCAGGTAAATTAGAACGACGCTCATTGTTGTCGTTTGGACAAGTTGAGAGGTTGTAGTTTTGTTGTTTAGACATCACCGGACGAAGCTGCGTAGATAACACTACCCTCTTTTCATGGTTTCTTCGCATACTAGCAAAGGACATCGCTTTGACTGGAATAAAACTGAGGTGTTAACACAAGATGAGAAAGGAAAAGAAAGAGTTCCTTGAAACATGGTACTGGAAGACACATTCGTTAAACGTGCGCCTCGACATTGATCCAGTTTATCAAACGTCAAGATCAAGAGAACTAAGACCGTTTAAAAATCATCGTAGGCAACCAAACGAACCACCAACATCACAACCGCACCAACAAGCGTGAAACCATCTCACGGATCGCACATGTCCATCAGAGACCTTGGCCAAACGCGTGAGGGTCAGAGAGCACAGATCGAGGATGCCAATGCAATGCTCCCATGCTGGTCGAGCACAGATAGACGATCAAATCAGTGGAATGCAATAGCGTACCTCATTTATTGTTGAAACTTTCACAAACCAATTATGAAGCATGGAGAACAGGTGAAATCTGGAACGATCTATCCTAGCTACCATGATTCCAAGTAACGTATGAAGGTATCTCCGTATGTCAGCCGTATTTGGAACTAGTAAATTTCTCAAAGACAGTTGCAGTAACTGCTAAAACCATGTTAAATGCGATAACATAAAATTTCTCTGCAAGCATGTCTCCTTGAATGTATTACTACTAACGTATGCTTTACACCATCTAGTTTAGTCTCCAAGCTCTGTCTGTTGAGTGTCTACGTTATGGATACAGCAGGCGTATTTGGTATCTGGCTTGTCTGGATCACCATAGCTGCCCACTTCGCCGACACAAGGCACAACCCTGTGCATTCAAAAGTGTCTACAAGGACCCTGATAATCAATCCAGCTGTACGCGCAGACTGATATACGAAGCCGCTGAATTTATCGCAACTCGGCTGCGCGAAACGAACCTGTGCACTCATAAGCGATTCATTGAGGCCTGATCGACCGGTGACTTTAATTAGTTATATCGCATCTAAGCTCAGATATACACCTGACTAATAGCGACGGTGAACCGCTTCTAAAAACTGATTTTATCTCTTTTCAACGACCTTAGTAGTCTGTCTGACTTATGACTGGAATACAAGTGTACTAACCTGAAGAGCAATTATCGAAAACATGTTGCCTAACACTGACTTCTGATTATCTAATGAACTTCTTTTAAACCCCCCTTTTAGCATCATAAATCACAGTGAGAAGCATGTACTTGGTAGCTAATAATTATCGTTAACATTCCGCAGACTCATACGTTTATGTAGCAGGGAACATATGCTACATGAGTCGTTTGGCAAAATATTGATTGCAAATCGAAATGATCTGAAACACTGGTAGTCCGGATTGGTTGATTAGTTCGCCGAGCATGATATAATTGAGGAATTCGTTCCGATAACAAGAGAGGTAGCATCAATAGTGCGATATGCAGCTCGCAACCATGTAATGGAAACGTTGAATCTTAGATTTCTACAGGTAAAAACCTAATGCTTAACAATTTCTGTAGGATGGTTATGGTGATCCTTCAAAGTATAAAAAATTGTTAGCAATATTGGGTTTACACCAGTGAACTCAATGAGGTGTAGGTTGTGTAGATGGTAAATCCGAGGTAAGTCCATAAGAAATGACAGCAAATGGGATATCGGTAAAACTCGTGTCTCTTTCTGGTGTACACATACAGGTGGTGAAAAACGTGGAACGAAATCTTTGATATGACCGCCAGTATCTCCATGTGTAATGGGTCATGTAAGCTGGTGCAGTGAGATAAGTGCAGGGTCAACTCGGGCTTTGAACTCTGCCAGCATGGGCCCACGGATGACAGATTCCGGTAGGGCATTCCACGTTCTCCAAACGCGTACGGAAAACAAATTCCGACAGTATTCCAAACAACTGTGCTGCTCTGCCAGTTTGAGATGGTGACTTCTCAAATTGCTGTTGTGGCTGCGCTCTAGCAAATAGCAGAATGTGTGGGTAGGATCTCACAAAATTTGTTACGTCAAAATGAGGTCCTCGCGCAATCGCCGATACTGTCTGCTGAAGACCCCGAGCACTTGTAAACTTCTTTCATATAAGAAATCACACAGACCCTTGAGATTTTTGGTTTTCCGGCGTTAGGGTATCTCCAATTCGGCGAGTTCTCTCCTCAGCCATGGATGCCAGAACTGTTTCGTGTATTCCACATGTGGCCATATGTATGAGCCGAGAATTTGTGGAAAAATCGAAGGGTCGAATCATCCGAATGCACACTTCAGGTGGCCACACATTGGATGTCCCTACTAGGGGCCGTTTCAGCCTGCTTCGCACATCCTAGGTCGACCTGAACATAGCTCCCGGATCCTTTTCGCCAGAAGAAGTTTGAAGCTCCTAGTTGCTGAGTTTGTAGGAGTACACCATCTTGTGCCGCAGATGCAGCACTACACATTTGTCCACCTTGATTCGAAGTACATTCTGGGTTGACCACGCCTATACCCTATCCACATCAGCTTGAAGTAGCGTGATATCATCTGGTCTATTCATCACGCTCCACTTATTGATGACATCGCCATAAAGAAAACGGATCGAGCTTAGGAGGCGTGTGATATCGGCAATATACGTCAAAAATAATCGCAGTCGAAGTACTGGTCCCTGTGGTGCTCCGCACTCAACTCGGATGGGATCTGACATGGTATCAGGCACACGTAATTCCAGGCGCCGGTGCGAAATTAAGCTTCTGATTCATCCAAATAGAAGATCACTAATAACAAAAATATAGAGTTTGAAAAGCAGTATGTTATGGTATAACCGGTCGAACGTCTTGGAGAAGTCAAGGAAGGCTACATAAACTCCTATGCCAGAGTCCACTGTTTCTGTCCAGCTGGATCTTGCTAATGGTAGGTTTGTACTGTCCGACCGATCCCGTCGGAAGACATATTGCTCCGGTGCGAGATAGTTACATTTGTTCATGTAGGCTGTTAACGCATCAGAAATGACAGCTTCCATGACACTTGAAAGAAACGGTCGTAAGATTATGAGACGGTCTTTGGTTGGATTGGAACGCCTACCTCCCTTGTGAGTAGGAGTAATCATCCCGTGTTTCCACATGTCGGGCACGTACGTTTCTTCAAAACAGTGTTGGAAGAATCAAGCCAAATGCTCGGCTAAACTCTCTTCCACTGCCACTAGCGAGTTCGTGTGAAAATTAGCAACTCCAGGAGAGCTATGCTTGCGCATACTCAACTGCTTTTGTAGTACAGCTTCTCCTGCGAAGGATATTTGAGTGAGCTTTGGGGGTGAAACAACATCGTCATAGGGTTAGGTGGCCAGTGATCTCACTGAAGTGTTACAGCATATTGTAAGCGCAGGGTGTTTGTCGCTTCCTTCGGCGTCCGTGTCGGTCCGTCCACTGTTTGAATAGGAGGAATTTCTCGTTTCACTTTGTTAAAGTGCTGATACAAAGGCTTGTGATTTGAGGTCATAAGCACCGCCAACTTCTGTTGGTACGCCATTCTATCCTCGTGAACATGTTGAGTACAGTGGTTACGCTGGGTCGCATAGGCCATCCAGTTTTCGTTGCTCAGAGAGAGTTTGTAGATATGCCAGGCTATTTCGCACTGCTATGCACATGCCTGTCCTGCTTCGCAGAAACTAGATCACGTTTCTCAGGCGGAAGGTCTTTGTCGCTGCCGCTTGGGCAACCAGAGAGTTAAACTGGCTGACGAAATATTCCCCTGCACTAGCTGGTGCCTCGTCTGTCAGAAATGTCCAGTTGGCTGTTTCACCTAGTCGAACTATTAGATCGTAGCGTATAAACTTTTTGTTGCGTCGGCGATTTCCACGGGATATTGTGCATAACAAATGCATTCGAAAAGTAGCACATATATATATATATATATATATATATATATATATATATATGCTTGGCGGCATCCGCTTTCGGATTTGCCTGTCACTGTGGCGAGCCACAGGACGCCTGCGCCTACAGAGGGACCATGGGTGGCTTACGCTGTACCACCCACAGCTCCAGCCACACAACCCATATCCAGTGTAAACCCGAAGGAATAAGACCGAGAGGCATGTGGATGGGAGCCACGTTTCATCAACGGAGCCGGCGCACACTCCTTCACAGGCAAACACAAGCACACTGTATTTGGGAAATCAAGCACACACAAAGCGGTGGCTGGACCGTAGTCCGCTCCACACTGAGTGCATGGAACCGCC